GTATTTGAGGCAGTGTATTTGAGGATACTGAGGCTCTACTCTGCGTGGAAATGAGAGAACAGGGGACCCTGACTCATGTGTTGTCTGACTCTGGCAGAGGAGTAAGCTCTGTGGTCCGCCGTTGTGTTCATCGAGCTACTGGCCATGAGTTCGCGGTAAAGATCATGGAGGTGACAACTGAGCGACTAAGTCCTGAGCAGCTGGAGGAGGTGCGAGAAGCCACGCGGCGAGAGACTCACATCCTTCGCCAGGTCGCTGGCCACCCCCACATCAGTGAGGCTGCATTCCCTGCTCCTGTTAGCTGACAACCAACTCCTGCTGGCCCAGCCCACCACCCACTCCCCACCACATCCCCAACATTGCCTCTACCCCTCTGCTCCCTTCCTCCTGGCTCTGCTCCACCTCGAAGTGTAGCTAGCCTTTGGGGTCCCTACTGCCTCCTTTGGTTCTCCTTCCTTCCCAGTAATAGCCCGCTGCTGCCTCAGGGTGGAAAGCCCCTTTAATATGTATCTGCTCCTTTCCATCTCTGTCTCTCTGCCTTTCTGCCTCTTTCCCCAGTCACTCTCATCGATTCCTACGAGTCTTCTAGCTTCATGTTCCTGGTGTTTGACCTGTGAGTATCTCCATGCCCTGATCTGAGAAGCCTCCTCTTCCCCTCCATGCATGGCCTCAGCCTTATAGCGCAGTGGGCTGAAGCCCACTCTGCTCACATCTTCCTCTGCTCCAGCTAGGGCCTACATGCCCTTTCCTGGGTGCCCTGATTGAGGCAAGTTCTTCAAGAGTAATAGTGATCAGTCAAATACAAAGGGTCTTTATGACCCAAGGGGTCCTATTCCAGTCCTTCATGGCAGAGGGTTAGCAGGGAAGAAAGGGCTGATTTAAGAGGAGAGTGTCATGTGGGAGCTAACCACTTATAAAGCAGATTCTCCCTCACTAGTCTCATTGTTTAACACCCTATACTAGTGTCCATCTCTGCCCATCAATTTTTTTTCTGGTCAGTCTGAATCTGAATGTCAAATGTTATACAATATAATACAAACCAATTACAAAGTTACTTCAAAAGAATAGTTTGACTATCAAATATTTAAGAGGGGCCCTTGGAAAAAATTCAGTCTTCATACAGAAATGACCCTCTGCAAAAGTCTGAAGGGAGGTAGAAAGTGTCTTTTACCATCGTGTAATTTTGCAGAACAATGATACTCCCCAAAATACCTGATGTGTTCTTCATATTTCAAGGAGTGATGCAGAGGTGCAATTATAATCTCAATTTTTAAAGAGAAGACAAACAAAATTCAAAATAAGGTCCTATTCAATGTTTTTGCGACTATTAACTGAAATTTTGGTCAGTGGTATAAATAGATTCACTTTAAAAGGCCTTTTCTGGGTATTAGATAACAAGGACCTCCTTTAAATTATTGGCACAAGAAGGCACTTATTCTTGCTAAAATGGCCCCCTCATGGCACAGTGCAGATATTTCAACTGCCAACCCCTAGGCCAAACTGCCCCTGGCATTCAGCTCATTCCTCTAGTGTTCTGTCTTGAGACCCTTTATTTTGTCTACAGAAGAAACTCTCTTTACTGGCCTCTTCCATAGTATTTTCTGTGCGCACCGGCTTATTTTCGCAACCTCCACTGTGAGGGGCACCTACTTGCCTACCATTCCTATTCCTTAGGATGCGGAAGGGAGAGCTGTTTGACTATCTCACAGAGAAGGTGGCCCTTTCAGAAAAGGAAACCAGGTAAAGGCTGAGCCTGCAGCCCCTAGGGTGAGCAGGGAGTGGGGTGGGGTAGGGAGAAGCAGAGGAGACTGCACCTCCCCCAGGTCCATCATGAGGTCTCTGCTGGAAGCAGTGAGCTTTCTCCATGCCAACAACATTGTGCACCGAGACCTGAAGCCTGAGAATATTCTCCTAGATGACAGTATGCAGATCCGACTTTCAGATTTTGGGTTCTCCTGCCACTTGGAACCTGGCAAGAAGCTTCGAGGTGAGGGGACCTGGTGCCCTAAGAGGCTTAAAAGGGAAGAAGACCCAGACCTGAGGCTGGTTTGGCTGGGTCTGAGAACTGAGTCCCAGGTACCAAGGAAAGGGAAGTCAGCACTTGCCAAGCACCCTCTGAGTGCAGAGCCTGTGTGCAACTCAGAGTGGGTTTCCTGACATGAGGAAGATGGAGACAGATGAGCGAGCAGATTAGTGGCACCCAGCAGGGGCTAGGGAGCATGCTGGGGAAGTCAGGAGGAAGGAACACCTGATTTAGCTGGATGGACCCCCAGGGCAGGGGGCTTCAGAGCTGTGCCTTGGGAGGCTGGGTTTACCCCAGGAGGAAAGAGGGAGAGGGGAATAGCAGGGCTCAGCTGCACACATGGAGTCTGCACACACACCACCACAGTGTGTGGTCTAGGTGCTACGAGGAGTCTGATATGGCCAGACAGTACTTCTCACCTGGTACACTGGGACTTGGGGTCACCCAGTGTTAATACATTTGTTGTGACAAATATTTCTGGTGCAAATGGAAAACTAAACAAAGTTCATCTGTGGGATTCCTCAGAGCTTTTAATACGCTATTTTCTCTCAGTGGCTTTGCACTAGATTTAATAGCTAGCATTTACTGGACACTTACTGTGAGCTAGGCACCACACTGAGTCTTCACAGCATTTATTTTCCTAGATCCTCTCAACTCTGTGCAATAGTATTTGTATCTACGTTTTATAGATGTGTTGTAACTTGCCCAAGATCACGTAACTGAGACTTGAACTTGGGCAGTCTGACTCCAGAGCTCATACTGATTAAGATCTGTGGACTTAACGTCTTACAGATGCTGCGCTTTGTTTCCTTTGGGCTTCCACATACACTTTTCCCCATTTTGGAATCACTTTTGCCCCTGCCCATTCTACCCTCTCCCTTAATTTCGGTAATTCAGGCTTCACTTTAAATCTCTAGGTCAGGTTAGATCTCCTTTTTTTTTAGTTCTTTACTCCCTTCATGTCACACATCTTACTCCATTAGTTTCTCATTTGCTTTCTGGTAGACAGTCTGGTAAGGGCACATCTAATTTACCACTGTCTTGTATGGTGCTTGGTACATGGTAGGCAACAAATATTTGGTGTAGGAATGGATTTCCCAGGAGAGTCATTTTCAGTTTAGGCCTAGTAAGATTTCCTGGAAGTATGCCATGGAATAGTTTGGAAGTTGCTGAGAATTGGTGCCTGAGGTGGTAGAAGAAATGAATATAGGCTTCAATCAAGTCATGGAGGGCTCTGTGCTGTAGTAGACTTGACCCTAAGGCCATAATGGGGAGCCAGGGAAGAGTTTTAAACAAGGGACTTACCTAGTATGTTTTGGAAGAAATCCCATACTCCTGCTCATTCCCCTTGGTTTGAATGGTAGTTCAGCTAACCAGTTTAGAAATTTTAAGACTAGATTTGGGCAGGAAGGAATGCAGAAAAGATTTGTTTTCCATGTGTTGTATATGTAAAAATGTGGTAACATGGTGTGTGAGGAGTGGCTAGGTCGGCTTGGCTAGAGGGTTGGGTAGGCAAGTGATACAGTTGGGTAGGACCTTGAAGTCAATCCAAAAATCTGGTTTTCCCAGGAAGGCCACCAGGAGCCTTAGCAGATATTTGAGTTGTTCAGCAGGGTCAGGATCTAGTACTGAGACTTGGTAGAGGGCTGGTTGGCATCCCATCAATCTCAGCCCTCTCTCCCCAGAGTTGTGTGGGACCCCAGGGTATCTAGCACCAGAGATCCTAAAATGCTCCATGGATGAAACCCACCCAGGCTACAGCAAGGAGGTCGACCTGTGAGTTTCTGGTCTGCCCTGCCTTCCTCTGTGTACTGTCATTTGCCCAGTACCTAGTCCTGCCTGACTTTGGTCTCTTTCCCAGCTGGGCCTGTGGGGTCATCTTGTTCACACTCCTGGCTGGCTCGCCACCATTCTGGCACCGGCGCCAGATCCTGATGTTACGCATGATCATGGAGGGCCAGTACCAGTTTAGTTCACCTGAGTGGGACGATCGTTCAAATACCGTCAAAGACCTGGTGAGTTGGGGCCATGAGGGAGCAAGGAGGGAGGACCAAGAGCTGCCCCTCATGTTCTGGGGTTACCCTAGATCTCGAGACTGCTGCAGGTGGACCCTGAGGAGCGCCTGACAGCTGAGCAAGCCCTACAGCACCCCTTCTTTGAGCGTTGTGAAGGCAGCCAGTCCTGGAAGCTCACCCCTCGACAGCGGTTCCGGGTAAGCCTAAGAGTGTCAGGGTCTGGGTCTGATCTTCTGACCCATGATCTTTCTCCTATGGCAGATGCTGCACTGGAGTTCACACTTCTCCCCTTCCCAGGTGGCAGTGTGGACAGTGTTGGCTGCTGGACGAGTGGCCTTAAGCACCCACCGTGTACGGCCACTGACCAAGAGTGCACTGTTGAGGGACCCTTATGCACTGCGGCCAGTGCGGCGCCTCATTGACAACTGTGCCTTCCGGCTCTATGGGCACTGGGTGAAGAAGGGTGAGCAGCAGAACCGGGCGGCGCTCTTCCAGCACCGGCCTCCTGGGCCTTTTCCCATCATGGGGCCTGAAGAGGAGGGGGACTCAGCTGCTATCATTGAGGATGAGGCCATGCTGGTCCTGGGCTAGCACCTCAGGCCTGGGGAATCCCAGAAAGCAGGACTCTCCAAAACGAGGATTTTTATCATTCCAGCCACTCTGGGCTCTGGCGTCAGGCCCACCTGCCTAGCCAGGCCCACCACTGATCATACTATCATGAAGACCAGCCCTGTACACCTACCCCCACTGGCCAGGGCTTTGAGAGCGGAGCTGAGGTGGAAGGGAGCCACTCAGAATGCCATACCTGGCCTTGTTAGTGCTGCCTGTGCTGTGTATGCAATAAAATCTGTTACATGCCAGGGGGAGCCAGTGCCCTATGTCTGTTGTCTGGCTTTGGCAGGGAAGCCCAAAAAGGTGCTTGGAAGGGCGGGGGGTGGGGGAGCGGGGATGGGGCCACTCTAGCCCAGGCCTTTATTGGAAAAAACGCTGGGGGTCACTTGGTCTTGTTCTTGCCTTTGCCTGGAGGTAGCTGGAAGGGCTGCTCTAGTGAGGTCAACTTGCTGTTGAGCCTCTCCTCACTGGCCTTGAACC